AAGTCCAATGGAAAGCATAATCAATCAAACAAACAAAATTAAGATTTTCTTCCAAATCAGCCTCACAATTGCCTTGAAAGGTAAAGCTCACTGAAAGAGAGGGAAAGAGAGAGAGAGAGATAGAGAAAGAGAGAGACAGAAAGAAAATATGAATGAATATGAGAATATTATATTTTAATATGCTCAAAAGACAAACAACTATGTTTGATCCATGGATTTCAAAAAGAGAAGAAAGGACTAATTGGTAGATTCTTTTAGTCCACTTTATGACATAAGTGATTTGACAAAGCATCAAAGACATATTTCAGCCCAAATTTCTACCAAGAATAGCTTGAAAATATTGCACTGTGGAAATTCTTTTATGCTATTCTGGGTATTTATCCTCTATGATTACTATGACATAGCTCATAAAGCATTTTTTTTTAAAAAAAAAAACCAACTTTATACCACCTGTACCTTCATATTTCTATGATTCTGTATTCTCAAAATAATGTAACCTTAAGCCTAAAAAGATACACTGCCTGGACATAAGCCTAATATTTGGTGACTCTCCTCAATCCAATTTTCCAAATTGATAGATTCTACATAATGGCATTTCACTCCAAATCCAAAAAGGGAGATAAAAACAGGACACTAAAATAATGTAGAGCCTCTGATACCTACAACTACAACAAACACTACACACATCCCACCTTCTAGCCAGATTCACATAAATCCCACACTCTGTCCTATTTATCTCATTGCCCGCTACTTGAGACCAGATGTCAGGTTATCAATAAAAAAATTAAAAGCCATGCTAAAAATCAAGAAAAAAACACAGTCTGAAAAGACAAACCAACCAGACTCAGATATGACACAGATATTGGAATTATCAGAGAACTTAACGTTACCACGATTATTAATAATATGTTAAGGGAACTAATGGAAAAGGTAGACAACATACAATAATAGATGAGTAATGGAAACAGAGAGATGAAAACTTTTTAAAAAATCAGAAGGAAAGGCTAGAAATGAAAATGTGGTAACAGAAATGAAAAACGTCTTCAATGGGCTCATCAATAGACTTGATATGGCCAAGGAAAGAATCAGGGAACTTGAAGACAGGTCAAAGAAAACTTCCCAAACTGAAATGCAATGAGAAAAAAGAATGGAGGTGGGGGGTGGGGGAAGCAACAGAACAGAACATC